CTCTCTCTCTCTCTCTCTCTCTCTCTCTCTCTCTCTCTCTCTCTCTCTCTCTCTCTCTCTCTTCCTATATACTGTATATCCCGCCTGATAGGCATCTCACTGTTACTTGTCCCTCCTTCCCCGACTGAAGCCGCTCACGAATCTTAGCATGACCTTGTGCTATTCAAGCAGCTGCGTGCCTCTACCATTTCCGTTCTCTCTCCTTTCTCTCCTGCAGAGGCGTAGGTCAGGTAACGGCCAACGGCGCCCCGGCTGACTGCAGGTGTGTCGTCTGCATGAATTCGAGAAATGCTGTTCGCATAGGGCATGGATCCTCCTGAACGCGCAATCGCGATGGGCCCAGTGCGGGGCGGAAACGAGATTGTTATTATCATATATATCGTCACAAATAGAACTGCCCGGTAAACCGTAGGCAGAGAGAGAGAAGAGGACAACAAACGAGGGGCTGTGACATATGCCCAATCTGCTTTTTTCAGCGCAGCGTATTTGTGCGGAGTGTCGTCACGGGAACCATTCCAATTTAGTAATTATGATTTTACCCAGATACTCTCTCGTAGCGCGCAGCCGAACGTTGCTTCCAGGTCTGGCACCTCCCACACCCCCTTCACCTAACGAAGTGCAGCTAGCGTCTTCCATCGTACAGCAACCTCAATGATCTCCGCCAGATCTACCTACAAAGGCCATTCTCATGGCTGATGATGGCTTGCCACGAGCATCAATTCACAGCTCTAGTCATTTTCCTTCTGTCGACCTCTCTTACCCATCTATGTCCTCTTCTTGCCATTGTCTCTCTCTCTCTCTCTCTCTCTCTCTCTCTCTCTCTCTCTTTCTCCCCACTTAGCTGCTCCTTGGTGAGGGTAGAGGCATTCTACTGGGGTGAACCATCCGGATCTCGACTGTAATATAGCTGTATCTCTTTCCAATAAAGCTTTCAAGTCAAATTCTGTGGTATCATTTCAAACGAAGTGCCCTTCTCCGTCTTCACTAAGGCAACATCACCAACTACTTGCACCATACCCGTTTCCACTCTTGCAGGTCAGACTGTAGAATAATCTGTCTGCGCTCTTCCCCGCTTCACTTTCCCTACTCTCCAAAGAATCCTGCAAACACCCAATCCGACGACGATGCCCAACCACAAATCCACCCGATCGCCTCCGAGATTGATAACGACACTACAGCGCAACGCAGCGAGAGAGAGAAAGAGAGCGAGAGAGAGAGAGSGGGGGGGGGGGGGGGAGGGAAGAGAGAACGGTGATAAAGCCGCAGCAGTGAGCCAGCGCCCCTGATCACCCATCACATGAAGCTACCAACACCGGTTCTTCGCTTCCCCTTCGAAATACTAGTAAGTTTGTTCCTGCCCTCCGGAATGAGGGTTTACAGGGAAACAGGGGATAGGCGTGCTAGGAGCGAGGGTAGGAGGTCCGTCTCGCGTTCATGTTGGCGGAGAAGAGCGCCAGGCCACCCAACCCTCCCCCATATGAAGCCGGGTGATGTTTGGCTTGCACCGAACCCACCAACAGCTCCGTCGCTCTCTGAAAAAACTGCTCCCTGGCGCAGATTCGTGTGTGCTTCATGTACGTTTCCAGCGAAATCACGCCGTCGTGAAGCGCCTTGTCAAGAGAGTACATCACGTCTTCTAGTGCGAGATCCTCTGCCGTCGATTCCAGAAGCTGCCTCGATAAGGAATCGAAGGGAAGGAACACCGTGTCGATCTCGGCCAACACCTTGTTGTCATCGTCGTCTGCATCATTCTCCTCGCCTCTCCCTTCCCCACAACCTCCCTTCCCCGCGTTCTCTCTCAGCCAAGATTCCAGCACATCGGTATTCGTCAGCACCACCTGGAGGCGGTGTTCTAAAGCCTCCTTCTCATGTACCAACTCCCTCACCCCGGTCTCGATCTCAGCGGACCTGCGCGCCAACAGCACCTGAATATTCCGGTGGTTATCCTCCTCCGCATGGAGCCTTTTTTCATAGGTAGTTACGTCGGCATCAAGCCTGTCCTGCAGATTGAGGATGGTTCTCCGCTTGACCGCGTCCGAGGAAGTTTCAAGCGAGGAGGGAGAAGCACGCGACCCGGGCATCGGGGTCGTAATTGGGAGAGAGGAGGACGGGGAAATCGCATTGGAGGGAAGATTAAGAGGCGAGGCCCCCGAGCCATTCACGGGGCCAGGCCGAAGATGAGGCATCGGCATGCCATCGAAGCCGGGATGGGATGATGAGTGCTGAGCGTGCGAGGAGGTGAGGAAGGTGGAGGGGAACGGAAGAGGATTTTGTGTGAGTGCACCGGGGTGTGGATATCGAGATGTGGGTAAGGCATGATTAGTCGTCGTCGTCGTCGTCGTCGTCATCGGAGGAGGAGGAGGAGGAGGCGAAGGGGAAGGGCGAAATGAGTGGGGCATGAAGCTGTTCCCTGGGTAAGGCATCATGGACGGATGAGGATTAGGCATAGAAATCGACGGTAGGAGAGACGACGGGGGGGAGGAGTGGTCTACAACGGGGGGAGATGGCGGAGGTGGGGTGTTGTTGGCTTGCCCAGGGATCGAGCGGGAATAGAGTGGGGGGTTCTTACCGAACATCTCTGACAGCTGCTGTACCATACTCTGGAGGTCGCTGCGAGGGTACACCCAGTGCTGAAGATGGCTAGATCTGACGACTCCCGTGGCGTCTACGAAGGGGTGTGGAACTTTGATCACCATATCTCGAGTGGGGACCACGGAGACCAGCGGGGGGCCCCGCGGATAATCCTCAAGCAAACAGATCTTCACCGGTATGTTGTACTTGGCGCTCTGGAAATGCATCGGGATCGTACCCTCCACCTGCAAGATGTTCGACGACCTACCGTCGGGATACTGAAACGTGCTCGTCGTCAGGGTCAAGCCTGGAAACGCCTGAATCGTGGAGTTAAGGTGACCGCGAATGGTGAAGCGCACATCTTCGCAGTAAGGCAATCGATTGGGACCACTCTGGGACAAGACCGTACTCAGAAAATCCATCAGTCCCGTGGAAGTGTCCTGCCGCAGAGGCATTTGGTAACCAAACACGACCGACGAGGACATGAAAGCAGCGGCTTCGTGCCCTCAACGGCGATGGCTATGGCAATGGTGCTGAAGAAGAAGCCGACAGCTTTGGCGATGACGACGGCGATGACAAGGAAGATGCTGAAGAAGAAGCCGATAGCTATGGCTATGGCGATGGTGCTGAAGAAGAAGCCGATAGCTTTGGCGATGGCGATGGTGCTGAAGAAGAAGCCGATAGCTATGGTTATGGCGATGGCGATGGAGATGACGAGCGAGAGGACCAACTACGCATCAGCAAAAACACTCCGTGACTGCACAAAAACGACAGCGCATTGCCACAACCTGGGGGATCCGCGCGACACGTCATACAGATCCAGCAGCAGATGGATAAGGGATAAGGAGGTATGAGGAGTACTCTTTCCTCATCCCTCCTCCCCAAGCGGGCATACGTAATAACCCAGTACTTAATTTACTTGCTATTGCTCAGAAAAGCACCAGCAACAAAACACGACGACGATGAATCAAGCAACAACGACGACCAGAAGAACAGAAAAAAAACAGTTCAAAGTTGAGCACAGGACTGACTCAACTGTAGAGAGACAAAATCAAACGGAAGCCTGCTAATAAGCCGCCGCCGTGTAACCGACAAAGTCGAATTACCAACCATAACCCCCATACTCGCCACACCACTCCTTTCCCCCTTTCGGAACTTTCGAAAGCGAGAAATCAATCAATCAATCAATCATCACTCAATCAATCAATCAATCAATCATTCAATCAACCCCAATCCATCAATCATTCTCTCTCTCTCTCTCTCTCTCTCTCTCTCTCTCTCTCTCTCTCTCTCTCTCTCTCTCTCTCTCTCTATGTCTAGTATATTCGCTGAATACAACATCAAAAAGAGAAGGGTGACTGTGGAAGATTTTTTCGTCTTCACCGACTCATCATAATCATAAATCTATTTACAGACGTATCCATACCGCAGCCCCTCTTCTCGATCCACCGTGTTGCCTAAGACCCGACTCTGCCCACCCTCCAGGCGAGGACGCCCACGCGGAACCGCATCGTCGACGGAATAAAGGGTCAAAAAAGAGTCCACCAAATTGGAGATTTTGTCCGGCAGCTGCCAAGGGGGATCGTAACCCCTTCCTACCCCCCCCTTCCGATTTCCACCTTGCAAACTTTATTCTCTACGAAGAGGGAGACGGCTAGAGAGACCCTCTTTTGTTCAGTTCCACTGAATCCCCGTACCTTCTTAGCGTATTTACTCTGTTCTGGACTGTTCCCTTCCTCCTGGCGCGGCAAATTGGTGAGACGTCGAAATAAAATCATGGTCCTCCATGACCGTAATCACAAGCAGACACGGACAGAGATGGCTGCCGTCATGGCGGCCCGGGAGGGAGCACAGATATGACCAACCTCATCAATTAATCAAGCGTTCCTCTCCTTCCACGTCGCCTCTTCCCCGCACCTCTTCCGCGCCCGCATACCCCATCAATCGCGCCTGTACCTGCTCCCCTCTCTCTCCTCCCCCTCTCTCTCCTCGCCAATCTCTTCCCGGGCGGCAAATTCCTGGCCCTAGATTGAGAGACGAATCCACGACCAGGAGGTGGTGGTCTCTCCGCTGGGTGTACTCGCATACACGACCGTCTCGCGCCCGCGCCTGCGCCTGCGGATATCAGAGGACGTCTTCCTACGCTGCCAGTGCGCACTCCGCAGCACCGCTCCCCTTGGTCAGTGTGGAACAACGATCACAGGCACTGCATAACCCCTGCAAACCGATCAGGGGGAGCACAGAACATGCCGCAAGGGCACCGAAAACGCCTCGCACCCGCTCATCGGTCGCAGATCGTTGGTCGCCGACCCGATGACCCACGAACTCCCAATCATTACCGAGTTGCAGTAGCGGGGTTCAACAATTCCAACCTGGGGCTAGGTCCCAGTTGCACGACTTAAGAGATACTGACCGTAGATAGCAAAGATCAACCGCCGAAATCTCTTAATTTGCGCAAGTGGGACCTTGCCCCTGGCCTTCGTTTCCTGGTTCCTGACTCTTCTCTTTCTCAGCCTTCACAGTCCGATTGCTTCGCGCTCTCGTCCACGCGCTCTAAAAAGAAGGAATCCCAAATGACCAAATGAAATGCACTATGCCTGCCACACGCGGCAGCCCGCTCGACACCCCGCTCCTTCCTACGGCCCTCAGGACCCCTTACACAATTACAACCCTTCTCCAGCTGGAATACCGTAGTGGACCAACTCCCTTGTTCCGTACGGCCGTGGGAATGGGAAAGTTCGCAGTCCGTGGGGGATGCGTCACCTTCTTTTGTTTTTTTCTTCTCCTTTTTGTGGAAATCACACCCCTTCTATTCTGGGGGGCTCCAGTCCGGTGGCTTATTACCGGCAAGCATGATAACAAGAGTCAGTCAAGAAGAGGGATTGTGCCCTGGGGGAGGCTGCGCAGGCTATGCTGTGCCTAATGGTTGTTCTAGTCGCTCTGGGAACCCATAGGGTGTACCTTTCTCTATCTATGTGTGTCATCCTTGTGCAAGGGCCATGCTAATCTTCTCTGTTCGCAGCCCGTCAGGGATGCGCTTTAAATTTCAACGTGGTGGTCGTCGGGAGGGTGGTCATTTTTTGGTTTTGGGGCCTTGCAAGGGCCAGGAGCACGTAGGACCGGTAGCTGCGCGGTCCAGGACCGGTAGCTGCGAGTAGGAGGCCGAGGAGGCCGCAGTCCTTTTTCGAAATTGAAACAGTGCGGGTAGTCCTTTTTCGAAATTGAAACGGTGCAGGTCCTACACGTTGTATTCGAATACAACCTGTA